TCCCGCTGGAGGGGGCTAGGCCACCGGTGGGAGCTGCTGGCTCGCCCAATTGATCTGATTTCCTCGCAGCTGCTTGCCTAAGTTTTTGATGAGCGATTAGTTTTACCTCTTTTGTGCTGTTCTTTATCATTAGCAGAGCATGAGAATTTGCATTATTTTTCTTTCACATTCTGCTAAGAATAAACCCTAAATATAATGGTGAAGGTTAGGTAGGACCAGGATCAGAAGTCAAATTTATGTTCTCATGTGAGAGGACATCAGGAGCTCACACATGTCTTACTAATTTTAACTGCTGAGGTCCCACTGAAATGATTAGCTGCTATAATTCAATGGTCAGACTCCTCACCTTTGGGTTTCAAGCGCTCCTCCTCTTTTATTTACTAAAGATCTCCAGCTGCCTCTGACAACTTCTGAGGCACTCTCAAGTTAGCAGCCACTCAGGCTCAGCCTGATGTTTGGGGTTCACCTTGCATACCCCAAAGCCTACGGCATTGGGTCCGTGGGGAGGGGCCGTGGAGGTGGGTGTTCTCCCCCAGTCTTTCTTCAGTGAGGTGCAGAGAGGGAGGCGTGTTCTACTGCACCCATGGTCAGTCGGCTCTATGGGCAGAGTTCTGGGGACAAAATGAGCCCAAACCATCCTCGGCCGGAGAGTGGGTAAAGGAGCAGCCAAGCCCTACCCCTGGCTCCACAGGGAAGCCAGAGTTTTACACCTCCCACCGCCCAGGACTTCCTGCTTGGAGAATCGCACACCTCTGCTTCAGACCAGTAACTACTTCCCAGGAACTTTCAAAAAAATGAAACAGCTTTACAGCACGTACTGCCAGGAAGTTCCTTCTGATAACTTGAGCCCTTTGTGCTATGGATGTAGCTTATTTTATTTTGGCCTGCCTCTATTAGAGACAATGCACAACAGCCTTCCATACAGTAGTTTTTATCCTCACCCAAGGACATGCTTATTTGATGGTTTTTTTTTTTTTTATAGAGAGGGAGGAAGTGGAGGGGAAACATCGATGTGAGAGAGAAACATCATTTGGTTGCCCCTCACTCACATCCTGACTTGGGACAGAACCCACAACCTAGTCTTGTGCCCTGACTGGGAATTGAACCCACAATCTTTGGGTTTATGGGATGACACTCCAACCAACTAAGCCACACTGGCCAGGCCTACTTACCTTACTCTTTTCAATTACAGTTGACATTCAATATTATGTTATATTAGTGTCAGATGTACAGCAGAGTGGTCAGTCAATGAGATCATTTACAAAGTGATTCTCTAGGTAATTCAAATACCCACCTGGCACCATGCATAATCATTACATCACTATTGACTATAGTTACTACGCTCTACTTTACATGCCTATGGCTATTCCTTACCTACCAATTTGTACTTCTTAAGCTCTCCATCATTTCACCCAACTTCCTCATTTCTGGCAACCATTAGTTTGTTCTCTGTATCTACGAGTCTGTTTCTGTTTTGTTTATTTTGTTCTTTAGATTCCACACATAATGAAATCATATGGTATTTGTCTTTGTCTGACATTTCACTTACCATATCCCCTCTAGGTCCATCCATGTCATTTGCAAATGGTGAGATTCCATTCTTTTTATGACTGAGTAATATTCCATCATAGATATACCATATCTTCTTTATCCATTCATCGATCAGTGGATGCTTAGGTTGCTTCCATATCTTGGTTATTATAAATAATGCTGCAATGAGCATGGGACATATATATCTTTTTGAATTAGTGTTTGGGATTTCTTTGGACGTGTATGCAGAAGTGGAATTGCTAGGTCATAAGGCAGTTCCATTTTTAATTTTTTGAGGAACCTCTGTACTGTTTTCCACAGTGGCTGCACCAATCTGCATTCCCACCAACAGTGCATGAGGGTTCTCATTTCTCCGCATCCTCACCAACACTTGGTTTTTGTTGGTATATTGATGATGGTCATTCTGACAGGTGTGAAGTGATATCTCATTGTGGTCTTAATTTGCATTTCTCTGATGATTAGTGATGTTGAACATTTTTTTCATATGTCTATTGGCCATTTGTATGTCCCCTTTGGAGAAGTGTCTATTCAGGCCCTCTGTCCATTTTTCATTGGGTGGTTTGTTTTATGGTATTAAGTTAAATGAATTCTATATGAATTCTGGTTATTGATCCCTTATTAGATGTACCATTGGCAAATATTTTCTACCGTTAAGTATGCTGTATTTTTGTTCTGTTGATGGTTTCCTTTGCTGTGCAAAACTTTTTAGTTTGACATGTTTCCATTGCTCAAGGAGATATTCCGGAAGAAATATTGCTAAGAGAAATGTGAGAGAGTTCACTGTCTATGTTTTCTTCTAAGAGATTTATAGTTTTGAGTCTTACATTTAAGTCTTTAATCCATATGGAGCTTATTCTTGTATATGGTATAAGAAGGTGGTCTGTTTTAATTTTTTGTATGTATCTGTCCAATTTTTTTTAACACCACTTACTGAATAGACTGTCTTTACCCCATTGTATGTTCTTGCCTATTTTTTGTCATATATTAATTGACCATATAGGCGTGGGATTATTTCTGGGCTCTCTATTCTGTTCCATTGATATGTGTCTGTTTTTATGCCAGTACTGTGCTATTTTGATCTTTTTAATGTATTGATGGATTTGGCTTGCTAATATGAAAAATTTTGCATCTATGTTACTTATCAGGGATAATGACCTATAATTTTCTATCTTTGCAATGGGTTTGTCATGTTTTGCAATCAAAATAATCTGGCTTCCTAAACTGACCATGGGAGGCTTCCCTCCTCTTGAATTTTTTGGAATAGTTTGAGAAGGAGAGGTATTAGTTCCGTGAAATTGAAGATCTCTCTGACTTGTCTCCATCCGAAAGAATTTAGATTTCCATAAACTTGTATCATTGCCTTTTCACCTAAGACTTTTATTATCTTTCTCAATTGTAGTTTTGAACGCTCTCTAAAACTTGTCTTTTAAGTTAGAAAGACCATGACTTAATGAGACCTTTGGTTTCCAGAGGATACTCCTAGTGCTTAAAGGAAAGTAAATTTCAGCAGGATGTATTTCACTGGGGGAAGGGCGCAGCAGAAAAGAAACTGGATCCTTTATCTAAATAGCACATTGTACCGCAGATGAGTTTTCACTTTCTTAACCGTTTTTGAAACAGTAAGTCTTTTTTGATTAATTTAATCCCTCAGAGACTCTAACTTCGAAAACACTGCGTTTTGCATTCTTCTGTTGGGTATATGGCTTCTGGATTCGAAGAAAGACAAGGGGTGTAGCCTCAAATCACCTAGTAAACAGTAAAGGACACAGAGCTGGCAACGGGGCTGCAGTCAAGCTCCGTATGTGGAAAAGGGGGAGGGGAAACATCTGTTTTCCAGTCTCTTCCTCAGCAGCTTCTGTCCCAAGAAATTCTGCTCCAAAGGGTTCATAGCATCAGCTGGGCTTCTTCACCCTCCATCCTACTGTAAGGGGGCTTGTGTTCCGTGATGCTGTGCCGCTTAGCTGTGCACATTTCTTCATCCTGATCCTTCAGGATTTGTGCTCACATTCTCAGAAGGGGAAGGAAGGTTTTGGACTTGCCTGTGAGCAGTGGAGCAGAGTGACAGTCTGGCCCTCACTTGGCAGTCCCTCAGCCAGGCTGCTCAGAGAGTGTTACCTGGTTACCTGACTTCCTTCCCTCACCCTAGGTGGAGTGGAGAATGTGGACTGCAGGTGACCTCTAAGGCCCCTTCATGATCCTTGCAGCCTCAGCTGTTCCCACTGCTCCACAGAGGGACCAGAAAAAGGAGAGAGGAGTTGGGTTCAGCAGTCAGTTAGGAAAAGGAGACTTGGAGAGAGCATTGATTTAACTAGAATTTTCTACCCTCTCTCCTCGCTCCCAGGGACCCAGAATCAGTATAGCACAAAGGGACGTGATGGCTGTGCTTTGGTCATCACCCATGCGTCAGTCACTGTACAAGCAGCTGTCTTTCACTGCCACAACCTCCATGCAAACCCCACCAGTCCCTGCCCAGAGGAGTGTACATCTTCAGGTCTCACGGCAGTGTCACTCTTTACTGAAGCCGTCCCTGACCCATCAGCCTGGGTGGGTTAGGTCTCCCCATCCTGTTTTGGTTCCCTGTACTTTCCCTTCACTGCCCTGACCACAGATGTAATTAACTAATTACCTGTACAATTGGCACTTCCACGATTGCTCTGCTGGGCCAAACTCTCCAGGAGAGCAGGGACCATGAAGTCTTGTTTTTCACTGTAGTCCTAGAGCCTAGCACAGTGCTGACAAAATCATAGTAACTCCGTAAGTGTCCTTGAAGAACCACAAGTATGAATGCATGCATGCATGGGCAAACAGCAACGCTGGGTATCAACCCTGGACCCTCTGTCTCTTGGAGCCAGTCTGAACTTTCAGAAGTCCTCTGCCATGCTCGCATGCAGGGTCTCGCTCTAGAACCATCCTTGTCACTTCAGCAGCAGGGGTGATGACAGCCCTGGCCGTGACCCCCAAAATGGATCCAGCCTGTGACTGGCTGTGGTGCTTGGAGGTGTGTGTAAGGAAGCACTGAACTGAACCAAACCAAATGTCCTTGTGGGCATTTAGCTCCACTTCCTAACACACTTTGCCAAGGGGCTATCTGTAAAAAAGCAATGGTCTTTAAGGGATCTGGGTCAGTAAGGATGAGTGGATGAAAATGAAGGGGAGAAACTAAGACATGACAACCTTTGGGGAAGCAGAAATAAAACTAATGCAAACCTGCCAAAAATAGGCTGCATGGGCTGCCAGGCTGCAGCAGGTCCAGGGCTACTCACGTGGAAATGAATTCCACGTGCTGTGTCCCCTGCTGGCTGCGAACCCGGGGTGGTCCACTGCCCCGCTCTCCCCTCACCACCGAGAGGCCTGCATGTCTCTTACTTAACACTCAGCTCTTGCCGCTGTGATGAGGAATGCTCACAGGAGGCCGAAAACACTAACCGTAGAAATTTGGTTTCTTCCAGACAAAAAGCCTTGGCATCCACGGGAGGAAGGAGTGTGCAGGCAGCGTGTGACTGGTTAGTATGAACTAAATAAGCTGAGAAAGTAGCATGTCATTAACTCAAAGTATATGTGGATGAGGCGGGAGGAGCAGCTCCTCTTTAATGAGCCCTGCGGGAGGGGCCTTTATGAGAGAGAGGGGAGAGATGAGTCAAAAGGCCGTGTGACGAGCCCGTTTATCAAGCCAGTTGCCTCCTGTGCCCTGGCCCCAGAGTGTGCTTCCCTTCAGCAGTGGTTAAAGAAGTTCAAAGTGTTTCTAAGAGGGCGTTCCTATCACAAAACCTACCCTTCCTCCAGTCACTTAAAGATGCACTTAACTGTGAGGAGTGCTGGGCAAATCAGTTTAGAAAAACACCTATTTACTTACCTTCAGGACATTAGTGCACAGGGCAGACCCTACAGCCTTGTAGGGTTGCCTACCCTCCCAGGCTTCCCTTGTTTTGGAAGCACTGGGTTTCACTGTTGGCGGAACTGAAGGACCAGGCCCCATTGAAACTGTGCTGGTGGATGAGGAGAGGATTTAGGGTTTATCTGAGAATGCTTCCTGGAGAGCGACTTCAAGTTTTTTAGGGAGTTGTGGGGGGCGGATGCAAAGAATGACAGGCACCAAAGAAGCTGTTGTGTCTGAAAGATGGTTATGAAGTGTGAGCTTGGAGGGGTGGATTTTTTTAAAGCACAAAAATGAAACGCTCTCCCTTGCAGAGCCTGGGGAGTGGTGCATGCGGAGGGTGGGCATGTCTCTCTGAGGCCTCCCTTCCCTGTCATCATTCTCATGAAAGGCCTGCCCAGCTCTCTCGTCCTTCTCCCTTGCAGGCTGTTCTCCCACGTGGGCGACCCCTTCCTGGATGACCCCCTGCCCCGGGAGTATGTGCTCTACCTCCGGCCCACAGGCCCCTTGGCACAGAAGCTCTCCGACTTCTGGCAGCAGTCGAAGCAGATCTGCGGGAAGAACAAGGCACACAACATCTTCCCCCACATCACCCTCTGCCAGTTCTTTATGGTGAGCCTGGTGCCCCATCCCAGCCCGCCATCGGGGACCTGGAGTCCAGGCTGGAAGACTCTGGGGAATCTGGCAGAAATGGTTACAGGCTCCCAGTGATGGGTGGGCCTTCGGGGAATTGGTGAGGCCCACAGCTCCAAGGCCAGGAGCACCTCCGATCAGTGTGGTACCACAATGCCCTGTGTACTGCAAGGCCCTGGGTTCGGACTGGACCCACTCACTGGCACGTGGTCTGGCAGCCACCATGGGGATGGCCTCACTGACCCACTTCCCCATTACCTGTAGTCCGCCTTTCCCTCTCACGACAAGGAAAGTAGAAATTAGGGAGCTGGGAACCAGAGCATCCTCTGCAGACCGGGAATGCCAAGGGAGCCAGTGGCCACCCTTCACAGGTCCTCACTCAGCACAGTTTTTAGGGATGGCAAAGATACGTTCCCCTGGCGTAGTAACCTAGTCTGTAATCCCAGCTACCACGAAGCTTATCCGATGACCAAATTAAACCCTTCTCCCTATAATAAATACATTAATCTACTTTAGCTCTCTGTGGAGATGCGGAAGAACTGATTTATACAAGTATATTCAAGACGAGGCAGAGTTGGTAGCACTTTAAGACAATATTTTGTTTATTCTCTCTGTCCTGCTCCTTCCTTGCCTCCCTGTCTTTACATAAAAGCATGTTCCTAACACTTCCTCACTATTCACTTGAAAGTTAAAATGATTATCATTTCCTCTTAGTCACCCTGGCTGTTTCTGACGACTTTGCAGAGTCTGAGAGACACCCACTCCCTCCAGGGCTCTGGGGTGGGTGGGGCAGCGCCACAGGCTGTGAGTGGCGCCTTCCCCCGCTGCGGGCAGGCACGGGCTGGAATCAGGGTCGACCCCTGACCATCTGAGAGGCACAGGAAAAGCACGGATGACACACGGCAGTAGAGAGCACATGAGGATGTGCCCTAGGTACTGTGTGTTCTCCTCGGACCTCCCTCCATTCTCTTTCTGCGGGACCAGGGCTCCTGGGTCTGGCCCTTCCGAGGACACAGTGGAGCAGGGAGGGAGCGGGGATGTAGGCCACTGTACGCATTTAATTTACCAGTTGGGTAGTCCCCTTCCAGATACCTGGGAGTTCGCAGCTCTTCTCCCACCTCCCAGGTGGAGGTGTTGGTTTAGTCACTGCCACTCAGAGAGAGGATCCAGTGCTCACCAGGGTGGACATCCCTCCTGGCCTCTGAGTGAAGCTGCCCCTGTCTCTGCAGTGCGAGGACAGCAAGGTGGACGCGCTGGCGGAGGCACTGCAGACCACGGTGGGTCGCTGGAGATGCAAGTTCTCCTCCCCGCTGCCCCTGGAGCTTTACACCTCGTCCAACTTCATCGGCCTCTTCGTGAAGGAGGAGAGCGCCGAGGGCCTCAAGAAGTTTGCCGCAGACTTTGCTGCAGAGGCTGCATCCAAAACCGGTGAGCTAGCCCGGCAGCCAGACCAGCCCTAACCTTGCAGTAACAGTGCTCTGAGAAAAGAGGGGCCACGCAGGTTTGGGGCTCCCCTTCACCACAGGAAGGAGACTCACTCACAGGACAGGTCCTGTCCATCCTCCGGTGAAGGGAGGCCGTGCAGGAGGAGCAGGGCGTGGGCAGAGCACAGGGTGTGGCCTTCGAGGGATTGCAGCCTGAGCGGTCGGCACAGGAGGGAGGCTCCACTGCAGCCCGGCTGTGTCCCCAGCCTCCTGACTTCTGGCCTCTACCTCACCTGCTTGTGTCCCTTTCTGCTCTTCTCATCCCCTACCAGGGACCTTCTGCTCTGCCTCCTTCTTTGGGAGAAAAACCCAACTGGGGCTCAGGACTGCGGGGCGGGTGTGGTCAAGGCCAGGCACGCCAAGCGAGTCTCTGCTCCCAGAGGGACTGCAGGCCTGCAGGGCAGCTCCTCTGCGTGGGGAGGAGGGAGTCGAAGACCCCTCCTCCACCTCTCTCCTCTGGGTTGCGTGGGTGGCATCTGACTTGGGGAGCCTGTCCCTTCCCAGGAGCTTGCTATTCAGGGAATGGCATTGCAAATGACGTCCTGCTTCTGCCCCTCAGTCTCCTGGGAAGGGCTCTGTCATCCCCCAGCAGTTACTGTCAAAACCGCTGCAAATCCCTAAAAACCAAAACCAGCGTTGTAGCCACAAAACCCAAACCCTTCACAAATGAGTCAAGCGGCTCCCAGCCAGGTCCTGCTGAGGGAGAGACAGGGGAGCAGGCCCAGCAGGCTTTCCTTTTGGGGAGGTGGCTTCGGTCCCCTCCAGACGCTGCAGCATAGGGTACCAGGGCTGCTGTCAGAATCCTCCGCCCTCGCCGCCCCCTGGTGGTGGCCGGGAGCGCCGGGGGCCCTGCCCTGCGCAGCTGGCCCAGCCCCTTCCAACCTGAGAGCGGGCCATCCTGGCTTTGCCCTGCACCTTATGCCTTGGTATTCCAGATCCCTTCAGCAAGTAGTCTTGAGTGTGGTCCTGCATCCCGGGTCCTTTGAGGAGGTTCATGCATGTGTGTCTTTGCTCATTTAACAAGCACTGAAAGCCTGTCGTGTGTTCAACACTGGGATACAGTGTGAACAAGACCTAAAGCCTTTGGCTCTTGGGGCTCACACTGAAGAAATACAGTGCAGTGTAACAGAAAAAGCCCTCAAAACCAGAAGGTCCAGCCTCTGCTTCCATCTTGTGTGACGTGAGCCCCTTCATTTCTCAAATCCCCAAATTCTCTCTGGTCGCATCTTCTTCGTGCGCAGCTTGGACGCAGACACGCACAAAATAGAAGTAAAAGCCATTCCTTTGAGGGCGGGTTGGTTGGTTCCATTTTGTTTTTGAGGGTGTCTTAGAATAACAGTCTGTCTGCTTTAAACTGATGGTTCTCAACCAGGGAAGTCTTGCCTCCGGGAGACGGACATTTGGCAGTGTCTGGAGTCATTTGGGTTGTGCTTCGTGCATTGGGTGTGTGGAGGGCACAGAGGCAGCTAAGACCTACAGTTCACAACAAATAATTATTTGATGCAAATGCTCTGAGAAACTCTGTTTTAAACTTGGAAAGTACTTTTCTTTACTTCTCCTTCAGAGCCACCCAGAAGCTGAGAGGCTTGATTTCAAAACAAAGGCAGTATACTTCTGAGAATCGCACGGTTACAAAATTTGCTCTTTATTGCTCCATGAATTTGTCCACCCCCTCAGGCCTCAGTTGCCACCTCTGCACGGTGGGGATGGTGGTCATCGGGTCACTGTGAGGAGCAGCCAGCCCGCATGGTCACCTCTCAGCTGCACACGGCTCCTGCAGAAGTGCTGCTCTTTCTCTCTCAGACTCTGGGTGGGTTCGGGATTTGTCACCCACCCCGCCTTCTTTATTCTGCACCTGTGGGGGAGAGAAACAGCATTTGTCTGACAGTGGACTCCGCCCTCGGTTCTTTGGGGAGCCGGTTTCCCTGTTCTTCCTGAAGTCTCCCCTATGGCCATGATCACTGCGTTCTAATAACTGGCAGTTTCCTTCCTCTTCCAGAAGTCCATGTGGAGCCTCATAAGAAGCAGCTGCATGTGACCCTGGCTTACCACTTCCAAGCCAGCCACCTACCCACCCTCGAGAAACTAGCCCAGAACATTGACGTCAAACTAGGGTGCGACTGGGTGGCCACCATATTCTCTCGGGACATCCGATTTGCAAACCATGAGGTAATGTCTCACTGCGGCCCCTGTCACTCCCAGCGACACCAGGTGCAGTCAGTAGCTCACTGTGGTGGGGACCTGGGCCCCAAAGGAAGCCTAGCTCGTGAGGCAAGACCAGGCCAGGGGTCTGTGGCCCAGGACTTTGTCCAGGATTCTGCCCAACTCAGTAGGAAGCTTTGAGCCTGAATCCTTCCTCTCTGGGTGCCAAGTGGCCCATCTGTGCGAAAGCCCCATGGTTCTCCCTGCCCAGCCAGCCTTATTGAAATGACACAGAAATGGAGTGGGAGAGTAGGTAGAATAGTATGTTGGATGATTTTAAATATTCTAGCAATTCATGGTGGTAACAGCTAGCAGACATCATCCTGATCTTAGTTGAGGAGAAGAGCATAAATAAATTTTAAAAACCTGTGAATATACAAAAAACGCATATTTGCTGACCATCTGCAAATGCAAGGACCCCTGTCTTCAAGGAGATTGGAGTCAACGGGGTGAGACCACAGTCACACATGAAGTGACAGCACAGACTAAGCACTGTGACAGTCTGTGTGCATCACATGGGAGGTGCAAGTGCGAAATCTGAACCCCTGTGCAGGCGGGAAGGCTGGTGTTATCCCGGTGTTACTGTTTGGAGGGAAGGGATGCTGCACCCAAACTCCTCTGCAGGGCAATACTGTCCTTTTGATTCCTGAAGGAGACGCTGAGACATAAAGACTGAGTAGCTGGTTCAAAGCTAAATAATAATTTAGGACCAGTGCTGAAACCAGAATTCAGGTATTCTGACCAATGAAGATGGGCTACCCAACCCAGAAAGAACCTCATAGTTTGGTGGAAAATTTGCCATACGGTTTTAACTACCATTATTAAACACCACATATTTATTTCCTAGTTTTTCAACAGAAGAACTGACTCATTAAAGTTTACATAGCCTTTTAATATCTCTTGTTTTAAAAGATTTTATTTATTTTCTATTTAGACAGAGGGGAAAGGAGGGAGAGAGGGAGAGAAACATCAGTGTGTGGTTGCCACAGGCACGCCCCCTACTGGGGGCCTGGCCCACGAACCAGGCATGTGCCTTGACTAGGAATCAAACTGGCAACCCTTTGGTTCACAGGCCGGTACTCAATCCACTGAGCCACACCAGCCAGGCGAACATCCTGTTTAGGTATTTCTTTTAATATGAGAAGTAGTTAGAACCTCGGGATCCAGACCAGGCAACTTCGTCGTTGACTGGGCAGGGTTGGGGGAATCAGCCATACACTCGAGGTGCAGGCCTGGTCATGAGGCCTGTGAGTGTCGGGGACATGGGGCTTTGTCTGACTCTGCTGGTGGGAATGCCATGTCTTCCTTCTGAGTCATTTGATGAAAGTTTCTGTGAAGATGCAACAAGGAGACTAGGCTTGATCTTACTTAAGAGTTCTGACAATCTCCTGGAAATTGCTTAGAATGAGCGCTAAATATAACAAGAGGTGTGGCTGATTGGACTTCTTCCTTCTGAGAAAAAGAAAAAAGTCAAGTGTTGCATCCCTCCAACTGGACTCTGAGAAGTCATCTTTCTACGAGAAGGATGGTGGCAATGGACTTTTACAAGGAGCCCCTGGCAATCGACACTGTCCTCCAGCCAACCCAAAGGGCACTTGCTTTTCTGCCTGACCCACATTGTGCTCAGTTGGCACTGAGGGAAGGAGGCAGCGAGTGTGCACATGAATTATTTTCTAAAAATAACTTGGCCTCTTTATCTCTTATTTGTTAAAGCTCATTTATTACTGTTCCTTCTGATCAAGTTCTCCCTCTGAGATGATCTGGATTCACCGGAGCCCCTGTGAACGTCAGCCAGCTCTCGCCTTCCCTCTTCTGTTCCTGGGAGGCAAGTGCGATTGCTCATTCCCACGTACTAACGACGTCTAGAGAAGAAAGTGGTGTGGGCGAGGACACTCAGCCAGCGATACACAGGAAAACTGCACCCCCTCCCCCACCCGTTTGGCGTCTCGATCCCCTGGGACTGGAAATGCTGTGTTAGTGATACTTGGGCCAAGCAAGTCATGCACGCCAAGCAATAGAAGTCTAGAGGAAGGGGAGACTTGTACGAAAAACATGAATTCTGGAGACCAGCACATATGGATTCAAGTCCTGGCTCTCTTCCTCCAGCAGCTGTTGAGTCACTTCTACAATTCCTGTAACTCCAGTCTTTAGTTTTCTCCCATGTAAAATGGCAATAGTATTTTGTGGCACTGTTGTGTGGGCTAAAGAGAGGGATTAAAGGGGAGGCCTGGCACAGAGTGGGTGCAACAGCAGTGACCGATGCTGCAGCTACTGCTGCTACTAAGAGAAAGGGCTTTGAAGGTAAAGAAGGTCAAGTCCTGTCATCACACAGGGCTGCTGCTGTCCTTCCCATGAGCCCAGTCGGCAAACTGCATGCTTAGTCCCTGTGTAGGAGGGGAGACGAAGCGTCCTTGAGATGGACTCAAGAGCTCTTACAGCAGATGCCAAACCGAAGGGAAGTGACACCTGTGTCCTGATCTCTCTCAAATGCGGGCTGCCTCACGCGGTGCTTCTGACGGGGGCACGTGCACACCACTCCCCGTTTGGGGTTTGCCGCAGTGCCTCTGTGCGCTTTTGTTTTGATTTTTTGCTTACTCAGTAAATCACATCTGCCTTTCGTCTGAGTGCTCTCTGCCTGGAACACCCTGTCTCTGAGGCTCTTTTGCTGCGCTTGCGTTTCCCGGGAGGTAACATCCCTCCATTAAAGGAGGGGTGGGCTCTCCCCTGAAGTCATTTAGGATTTCTGAGAGAAAAGGCATCAAGGGACCAAAGGCAGTGTTCCCGAGACTCTGCTGTGCTTGAGTATCTAGGGAACTGAAGAAGCTGAGTCTGGAGTTGCTCCGCACCACCTGGGGCCTCGCTCTACCCTGTTCCAGGAAAAAAAGGAATGTTCCTTCTGGTGGGTCATCCCGTACCTGACTCGGGTTTCTTGTGAATGCTTTTCTCCTTCGAGCTGTTTTAACGACCCTGCAGAAAACCTCCCGGGGCGGTTTGTGGACGTGGCTGGAGTGTTTGTGAGGCCGCAGGAAGGGAAAGGCGTGGAGAGGTGGTCCGAGACCCAGAAGACCCAGAGCTGTGGGATGCCGTCTGCAGAGAGGAGCGCAGCCCTGACTGAGAGCATCAGAAACCCGGTGCTGCCGTCCGGTTCTGTGCGTTATCACTTTCATTCTCTGAGAAAGGCCACGTTTTCACCGGCTCCTTTCATCAGAGAGTTCCAGAAGTGAAGTCTTCCTCTGGCAGGTGTTCGGGTGTATCCCTGACACTAGGGAGCTGTGTCATTCACAGGCCTTCTCACCACGTGGGCTGGGGCCAGGTGGGCCGGCAGGAGGACACCTGGAAAACGAGGCAGCGTGGCTCCGTGGAAACATCATACCCCTCTGTGCACAAGGCTCTGTCCTAAGGATTTTTCTTAGGTTTTCTCTTTTTGCTTTTGTAGTCCAGGTATGATTTCACAGATGAGACTACTGAGGCCAAAGTTAAAAACCTGAAAGTAGAACCAGAAGCAGGGGCCTGCCACCAGTGGCTGCGAGACCATAGGAAACACCATTACAGAGTCTCCATCTTTGTGCCCCTCGTGCAGCAAACGGGACAGGAAACGTTTTCCTAACTATCCAGGCCTCCTGTCATTAATTTAAAAAATAGTAAAATGAATGTGTTCCACAGTATCCTTATGCCTGTGCCTACGATGTTTGTATACACCAGGAAAGGAGGCAAACAGTGGAATAAATCGGCCAAGCCGCCGGGCCTGTGATTGGCCCTGGGGGCTTTTTCTGAGCCCAGAAAAGGAACACGAGCTCTTCATCTGCTCCCTGGTGAAAGCTGGTTGCACAGACTTAAACACTGATGGCTCTGAAAGATCCTTTCCTTCCAAGCTCTTTGTTACAGACGCAGGTTCACAGAAAGCTCCAGAGAGGGCGGTGCTCGCTCCCACAGCCGTGTGCCGCTGGTCTCTGCTTCTGGCCCATCCCTAACCCGCCTGTGGAAGACTTAACTTCTCCCGAGCTGGGTTCCAAGTGTCCCTCAAGGGGCCAGCCTGGCACTGAGCCCCGGAGACCAGGTCCAACCCCACATGTACCACAGTTCACAGAAGAGCCTGTGGGGTTTGAGATACATGTCTAAAACCCACATGTGAATCCTGAAGAGAAGCGAAGATATTCCAAAAGGGAAGTCTGGAGTCATCCAGCAGTAGCCGACACATACCCACCTTACCCTAAAAAAAAAGGAGAAGAAAGGAAGAAAAGAAAATACTTTCTGATCCGAATTCAGATCTCCTCAGAGCCTTTGCCCCCCAGGGCCCTGTAAATGCCAGATTCTGGATGTGGGCGCTCTTAAAGCAGAACTCGCAGATCTGCCTGGCAGCGCCGGGGAGGATGGGTCGGACGCGGGCCTCACGCACCCTCTCTTTCAGACGTTGCAGGTGAACTACCCCTACACCCCACAGAATGACGATGAGCTGGAGCTGGTCCCTGGGGACTTCATCTTCATGTCCCCCATGGAGCAGACCAGCACCAGTGAGGGCTGGGTCTACGGCACCTCCTTAACCACTGGCTGCTCCGGACTCCTGCCTGAGAATTACATCACCAAGGCTGATGAATGTAGCACCTGGGTGTTTCACAGGTGAGCTGACTCCCAGTTCTTTGCCTGCTGTTTTCTGAGAAACATGACAGACTTTCGGAGGTGGTGGGAAGTAGACTTGATTCTAGACACGCGGGCGGCAGTCATTGTCAGTAGAGTCCATGGTGGGGGAGTTGTGCTGCTCCCAGACTTCCAGGAAGGGCTGACTGGAGTCATGGGAGAGACAGGCCGTGGACCACTCGCTTCACTCTGCCTGCCCCCACCCACGTGGCCGTTGGTCTGAGTTCCAGATTGGAGACCACACTGAGGGTGTCCAATCTCTTATGGGTCCATCTCTTATGACTGAAGCATGGGTCAGCCCGGTGCTGAGTCCAAATAGCTCTCAGGTTTCTGTCCACTTCGTCCTGCATTACTGCTCAGAGTGGTCCCACTCGCCCAAGCAGCTAGGCAGATTCGGACCACACCAGCCAGGCAAGTGATGAAAGTGTCTGCAAGTGTCAGGGGACCTAGGTGCTCCTCATTTAAGAGGCGCTCTGAGCAAGTCCTCCGACTTAGCGCTCAGATGCCTAGGTGACAGAATGTGTTTAAGGGAATGGGCAACTGCCAGACCCTTACAAAGACTCATGGTACCCCCATCTCCTTTAGAGTGATGACTTCCCACTGGTCCGTCACAAACTGCTCCCCTGTCCAGGGTGCCCTGTGTAGTGTGGCCAGCTTTGTCTCAGTAAATAAACCGCAAATAAAAGGCAACTTCTCTTTTTTTGCCAGAGAAGTTCAAAGCCAGCTCTTCCCTGGCACACACAGGCAGCTCATCAGTGTGTACATGCTGGTTGTTTTTCTTCCCTGGTGTTCTTGCCACGTGCCACTGTGGCTCAGAGCTGGGGGCCCGGGCAGCAGCTGTGTGAATCTAACATTGGTATTGTCGCCACAAAGGAGAAGCAGAAAGGGGTGGATTCAGGGAGTGTTTTGCCTGGAGGGAGGGAGGAAGAAAAGTTCCCCTCCCTGGTTAGCAGCAAGCTGACAAACCAGACTCAGAGATGGAAAAGAACGTCTTCCTCCTTGATTGCTCAGTTCCCAGCAACTCCCCCTTCCTTCCGGTGCACCACCCACCCCTACCTGGTGAACATCAGTGTTTCAGAAAAATTTCTGAAGATAAATAGTTGGGTTTCCAGAGTTCCCCTTTTATCCCTGTGAAAACAAGTGAAGCATAATATATGTAAATAAACTGAAAACTGAAAGACTCTCTGACGATGCCCAGCTCTTAGCTGACATTCATAGGAGCAGGGCTCCCTGCAGGAGGAGAGCCTGTGAGGTGCTCTGCTGACCAGCACTCTGCTGACCTGTGTCAGGCCTCAGTGTGTGGGCCTGCTCGCTCCCACATCGGAGGTCAGGTGAGCTGCTGGTGCACCTGCGTGCTGTCTCCTTTTATGTAGGGAAGTTGCCAGTGACGCTCTTTTCCTAGGAACCATGCCTGAAATTAAACCACCAGTTTGCACAGCCAGCCCCGCTGAGAGTGGGGAAATAAATAACCTTAGGTGTTAGGACATGGTAATGAAGAATTTGACTTTCTATTCCCATAATCTTCAGTTCAAGTTCTCGCTCTCCCACTCACCAGTTGTGTGGCCTTGGCCAAGTGACATTACCTCTGTGAGCTTCTGTTTGCAAGTCCATAAAATGAAGATGGTAATTAATTGTGTTTAACTCACAGGGGTGTTATGAAGACTGCAGTCGAGGACTAAGCTTTAGATGGATCAGTGCTGTATATGCAACAGCCCTGGACCTAAAATAGTCATGTGCCTCTGCGGTTTTCGTTTTTTTGTAACTGGTGTTTTCTAGTCCTCTTACACACTCAGCCAATCAAATGTCTCTCCTACAAAAGGGAGCCTGTAGAATTGTTATTTCCTACTTAACCCCAGAAGTGGAAATGACTCAGGGAGGCAGAGCTTCTCTCACTTCTGACCCAGGAGAGAGTGAGGAGCCAGAGCCTCAGGTGACTGCTTAGGGCCTGGTCGGCAGGTGGGAAGTTGCTCAGGGGATTCAAGTAACATTTAGAGGCTTGGGGCCTGTGACCCTTCACAGCTCTTCCCACCCTGCCCTCTGTTTCCTGCATCCATCCTAAAAAGACTGTCCTTCCACCCTTAATAGAGAATCTTGCCCAGCTCTGAGTATCCCTGGATATCTGTCAGTTGGCGAGCCCCACTGTGTGCTTGGAATTGGGGTGGGTTGGTCGGTCCTTCCGGGCTTACACTTGAGGCTGGTGTGTGCTACAGCCGTGCCACTGCCTCCGTGGCCCTTGAGAAGATGTCCTGGTGTCAGGTTCGGCTTCCCCCTCACTGTGCTCCTGACACAGAGCATCTGACTGTTTGCTGTCTTACTGGAGCAGATGCCCAAACTGTCTCAGAGTGGACCAGGTCATTTGCTCACAGTGACACTTAAGGAAAGGAGAGTGGCTTTCTCCTGCCAACTGCGAGGAAGGAGAGAGAGGAGAGACTCTCCCCGTGTCCTCACAGCGATAGTGAATGAAGAAATTATGGGGCAGGTGCTGTACAATGTGGGGACAATTCCATCCAGACATTTCAGGCTCTAAATCTTTGAGGAGTCAGAGAGGGACACTGAATTGTCTTTAACTGTGTGATGTTTGGGAGGGGCTCAGTTTAAAATAAAAGAGAACAGCTGGTCTGTTAGACTGTGTGAATGGCACAAGATTTCCTTGATTTACAGTTGCTTAATTTCACCAAAATAGGTCCCATTTGGACACACAGAACACTGAACTGACAGGGCTTTGCGAAACCGTGGCTTCCTGGGTCCCACCCCAAGACCTGCTGGATCCACGAGGACTGGGGCCCGGGGTCGGATGTCCGTGGGGGCTGAGACAGAGGTGTTTTAGGGTTTGAGGCTCCTGGGACCTTGGTGCTGAAGCAGGATGAGTCTGTTTACATTACAGAAAGAGGCACCTTGGAGAGTGAAAGTTTAAACTTATTGAAATACATTTTTTTTCTGAAAGAATTTTTATTAACCAGTTAACTTTATTACATTAGTAACTGTAAAAAGTTCTTTTTAAAATGAGAATTCTAAGAATAATGTGTTAAAAATAAGCAATCCAGAACCGAAGTGAAGCTGCACAGATTGCTGGGTCAACAGCTGTAAACCAGGACTGTGCTGGGCAGACTGGGGCCTGTGGCGACCTTAGTTAGTTGCGGAGAAGGGAGAAATCCAAAATTTGTAAGATTCTCCCTCGCTGCTGCCCAGCACAGATAGTCACAGGATTCACCCAACAACCACATTTAAATTGCAATGTTTATTAGATAAAGCTTTTTGGAGGTTTTAACTAATCAAAATGATTTAAACATGGCATGATCTGCTGCCTCCCCTTTTTAGCAAGACCCCTGGGGCTTCTGTAGTTATAGTTAAAGCCAGAAGTGAGTTCTTGGCTTGCAGCTCCGAGCCTCTCATGAGAAGGATGTCCTCTACAATGAGTCTGTGTCTGACAATCCTGTTGGAGGCAGAGTTGAGACTGAAGAAGGTGGAACAGGGGATAATGGCCTTGAGGCTCCCCCGGCCCCTAGGAGCCACAGGCAGAGTGGCAGAGGCAGTACAAATGCTCCCTGTAACGTGTGAGTTTGGTTGGAAATCACCATGAAAAAGAGTAAAGGCAACAGGAATTGTTTTGAGCCAAAAAAATAGTTGGAAACAATGGCACACAACTGATCCTTCATTATTCTTGAACGTGACTTTACTGCCAACCGTGCTTGTGGCATCTTAATAAGCACAAACGCAGACGCCCTGTCCTTGTCCAGTGGGATGAATTCATCTATTCCAAGTGGAGAAATCGTCTACCCCTAATTATACTGCAAGACTTCGGGATAAAACAAGATGCCCCTCCCCAGGAAGGGGCACCCCCGGCCTGCTCTCCCAACCATCACACTACCCAGAGAGCATTTCTGGCCGACCCCACACTCCTGTTCATGCAGGGCAAAGTGCTGGTGACTCCTGGGCAAAGCTGCTGACATCTTCCTTTCTTCCCCTGCAGTTCTTACTCGATCTTAAGTACAGCACCGTCCCCTGCTCTCTCATTCGGTGATGGCATATTGGAGCGGCGGTCTTACGAGGACCAGGGCTCAGGGGAAATGGCACCCCTGACTGTTATCTGCCAGCCAGCGCAGGTAAGGCAGACTGCTAGGGTCCTGCCCTCCGCAGCACTGAAAGTTCACTGAGCACCTGTTGACTAGTACGAGGCCTGTAGATACAAACATGCAAGACTGCAACTGCCAGCATGTGGGCCTCAGCTGGGAAGGAAGGCTCTTCTGCAGAGAGGAGAGCATGTTACCTACACAGTAGTAAGAGTTCTGGTTCAGAGGTCATCGTGAAAATAAAAGGGAAACATGGTGGGGGGATGGGTGAGATAAAAGTGGAAGAGTAATCAGAGGTACAAATCCAGATATAAAATAAACAAGTTATGTAAATATGAAACAGAACATACTGAATAATATAACTTAGTATGGTGGCAGGTAGTTACTAGATATATCATGGTGATCATACAATAAGGTGTATAAATATCGAATCACCATACTGCACACCTGAAAGTAACTACCATATTGTATGTCCACTATACTTTGATGAAAAATATTAAAGGAAATAATAAGAATAAGGCTCTTGGCACAGTACCTGGTAGATAGTGAGTATTCGGTGCATGTGTACTTGATCATCCCAGAAATTGCAGAATGAAGAGTCGGAGAAGTTGTTTGAACAATAAAAAGGCAAGCTGAAAGTTCAAATTTGTTGAGAATTGAGAGACCAGGTTGCTTTGGCTGGAGCCCGGGGCTTGAGTTAGGGAAGAGACAGAGGAGAGGTGGAAGGGCTGTGCCACGGCCACACAGTAACTTTCTCAGGGTGACCAGAAGCTCGTGGACATGCTGCCAGCGAGAAGCTGGCAGCACTAAGGAAACTGGGAATAGCTGACTCTCAGAAGGATGATGTGGAAGCACCTATAGTGATCCACCAGCAGTTACAGGAACCAAAGTCATTCGGACATGCCTTTGACTAGACTTGCCTATTTCCTTACCCAGAAGTGGCAGTTGTCCCCCCCAGAACCATTTCTGGGAGCACCAACATGTATGGAGTCAGACAGACAGCAGAGCCTCAAAACTGCGATTGGAATGGGCAAAGCAGGGCCTTGCTGTTGGAAGTGACCACTAGGCCATGTGGTCTGACCACGGCACGGAAGGGATGGGGCAGATGTATTTGTGATAATGAAAGTCCTCACTCCCTGAGAAGTTGATGAAGGCCTCTTCAGGGGGGGATACTGTCCCCCTAGATGGCTTTCTTTACACACAAGCTGGTTTCACTTCTGAGCTGCAGCCCAAGGGGTGTTCATGTTAGTGTTGGCCAAACACCACTCTTATTAACAACAGCAGTAGCAGTGATAATACCATTTTCATAGCCCTCTTATTTGGCAAAGCATCTGAGGTTCATTTCATCTGAACTTCAAAATAACCTGAGGTCCATGCATGAGTCCTGCCACCCCTATTTCACAGGCAGCCCAAGTCACATCGCACATTAGCAAACCCTGCTCTAGAGCTCAGTCACCTGGTACCAAGACATGTCTTCTCTCTCATGTTTTCCCCACTAATAGCCTTTCTGTGTTTGCAGCCTCTGAGGGTCAGCAGCCAGCCTGGCCCCCAAAAGAGATGCCTGTTTGTGTGTCGGCATGGGGAGAGGATGGACGTAGTGTTTGGGAAGTACTGGCTATCCCAGTGCTTTGATGCCAAAGGTGAGCAGCTGGGTGGCCAGTTCAGCGTTGCTATTCCTATCATGGCCTCTAGGGGGCACAGTCAAGTTACATTTATCTAGATGGAGGCATTTATGGTTAGGTGGGCAGGAGAAAAGCCTGTAATGTGTTACATGCATAAGTCCTTCCTTGATTGTCTTGTGTGTTAGGGAAGAGGTGAGTATTCTTGTGTGCATCCTATAAACTGGGACACCAGGGGTCAAAGGCAAATGTTTTGCCCATGGTCATATGGCTATGTCAGAGGCCAGGACAGATGTCCCAGCATCAGTTCACCCTGACTCATTTTGGCTCCATTTTCCTTTGAGTAACCTGTTTAAGGTAAGGAGACTTATATATCCCAGAGAAGCCTTCTGTGTTAAAGAGTCCACTTGCTATTTTTACTTAAAAACTATCTCCTGCCCTGACTAGCGGGCTCAGTTGGCTCGGCATTATCCCGCAAAGCAGAAGGTCACTGGTTCAGTTCCAGTCAGGGCACGTGACTGCGTTGTGGGTTCAGTCCCTGGTCGGAGCATATGTAAGAGGCAATCAGTCAATGTTTCTCTCTCACGTCCATGTTCCCATCCCTTTCTTTCTCCCTTCTTTCCCATGTCTCTAAAGTTAAATCATAAAATCTCTTTTAGAACACCCTATTTCTTGTCACTTTTGTCAGAAAATAGAAGAGTGCATTCCAAGACATTCTAACAAAGCCAAAGTGTCAGCCTTGATATTTTCTAGAGAGCTCAATTTAGTCTCTTTGGCCAAAAAGCAATGGAAATAGAGAGGCCGTCAGGATCCGCGGAAGTCCTGAGGATACAAGACACTCACATAGCCCTCATGTGACTTTCTTCCTAGGCCGCTACATACGCACCAACCTGAACATGCCTCATAGCTTACCTCAGCGGAGCGGCGGTTTCCGAGACTATGAGAAAGACGCTCCGATCACTGTGTTTGGATGTATGCAGGCGAGACTAGTGGGTAAGTGTCTGGGGGTAACTGCACAGCCACTTCTGGCCACATCTTCAGAGTTCCAGTTTCAGTGGGTGTGACAAGACACTTTGTAAGGGACTCTGTAACTTTTCTACAAGTAGTACATTTCCTCAGGCGATTGCTTATGTAACCATTTAGTTTAGGACACTGTGCTTGGCACAGGGTTGGTTTACCAAAATGAATGAGGTGTGATTTCTGTGAAGGGCGTGTGGTCCACTGATGGGGTGAGGTCAGCTCCTAGCACATGGAGAGGGCCAGGGGGCCTTGGAGTAGCCAAATGTATGGAGGCCAGTTAACCCTCCGAAGATGCCCAGTTGTTTTCAGAGAACCTTGTCCTAGTCAATTAGCTAACGTGCATCAAGTGATCAATTTTGGGGGAAGGGACTATGCTAGTGTTGGGGATCCAAGCATGAGTCCCCACCCTCAGGGAAACACACTTGTAAGTACATAAATATTTTACAACGTGGTATTCAAAAATGAAGCTACACACAGGATTAAAAACAAACTATGCATGCAGAATTATGGAAGCACAGTGGTTCCAGATGGCAGTAGAGCAGGCAGAAGTTGCTCTCACCTTGTCCCAGGTCCAAACTGCAATTATAGCTGGAACAGAACAGTCAACCTGAATGACCTACTGAAGACAAGTCTTAGAACCAAGGATTTAGAGAAGAAGCTACACCCATACCAGTAGGAAGGGCAAAGAAGCAGAAAGGGCTGGCCCTTCACCCAAGTGCAGTAGTTGAGAATCTGTAGGAGTATCTGAGCTGCAAACGTGTTCCCTGAGGAGTTCGGAGCCTCAACCCCATGCTGGACTCTCGAGTCCAGAACACTAGAGCCGGGAAGAAGATCCCACGTAACATCTGGCAGTGAAAAGCAGCAAGAATTCTGTCCACCAGAAAGAGAGGGGAGTCTGCTAGAGACCGAGGTGCCCTCTTAAAGGGTCAACAGGCAAGATCTCATTTGCAGCCACTGACCTTGGGAGTTCCCACAGAGCAGGGCAGCCCAGAGCAAACTGTAATTGTGTGAGCATAGACTGGGCTGTGTGGCTGCAGGGAAGGGCTAAAGGGACAGTTTCCAGGGTCCCTGTGCTGATCCCCTTTCCCACACCACCCACAGATGCCATCTTTCCTGGGTGGAACACTCCCTTCCACACACCATCAGCGTGGGGAGATGCAAGAGTCTCACGCTCCCGACTCCCTGTGTCCCAGCCCTGCTGAGCTCAGGCCTGCCTAGGCCCTCAGTGCAGACTCACTTGGATGGCTCTGAGGGGGTATGGGCAGCCTCGGGGAGGTATTGAGTCATGTGGCTTTGTGGCAGGGGCCACTTGTCCCTCACACACTTACTGATGCTGCTGTTCCTCCTGTGCAGAGTAACACTCACATGGCCATATCCTGATGACGATGCTGGCCTCACTTTTTTAAAAAATGTATTTTATTGATTATGCTATTACAGTTGTCCCATTTTCCCCCTTCATTCCCCTCTGCCCTGCAACCCACCTCCCACCCACATTCTGTCCCCTTAGTTCATGTCCATGGGTGGTACATATAAGTTCTTTGGCTTCTCCATTTCCTATATTATTCTTAACATCTTCCTGTCTATTTTATACCTACCATTTATGCTTCTTATTCCCTGCACTTTTTCCCCCATTCTTCCCCCCCCCACTGATAACCCTCCATGTGATCTCCCTTTCTGTGATTCTGTTCCTGTTCTATTTCTTTGCTTGGTTTGCTTTTGTTTTTTTAGTTTCAGTTATTGATAGTTGTGAGTTTATTGTCATTTCACTATTCATATTTTGATCATCTTCTTTTTCTTAGAGAAGTTCCTTTAACATTTCATATAATAGGGGCTTGGTGATGATGAACTCCTTTACCTTGACTTTATCTGGGGAGCACTTTATCTGCCCTTCCATTCTAAATGAAAGCTTTGCTGGATAGAGTCATCTGGGATGTAAGTCCTTGCCTTTCAACTTTGAACACTTCTTTTCGGCCCCTTCTTGCCTGCAAGGTTCCTTATGAGAAATCAGCTGATAGTCTTATGGGAACTCCTTTGTAGGTAACCCTCTCCTTTTCTCTTGCTGCTTTTAAGATTCTCTGTCTTTAACCTTTGGCATTATAATTATGGTGTGTCTTGGTGCAGGCCTCTTTGGGTTCATCTTGTTTGGGCCTCTATGCTTCCTAGACTGTATGTCGACTTCTTTCAGCAAGTTAGGGAAGTTCTGTCATTATTTTTTCAAATAGGTTTCCAAGTTCTTGCTCTCTTCTCCTTTTGGCACCCTATGATGTGAATGTTAGTATGCTTGCAGTTGTCCCAAAGGCTCCTTACACTATGCCCATGTTTTTGGATTCTTTTTTTTTTCTTATGTACTGATTGGGTGGTTTTTGCCCCCTGATATTCTAAATGACTGATTTGATTCTCAGCTCTACCCCCTCTACTGTTGATTCCCTGTAAATTGTTCTTTATTTCAGTTCATGTATACTTCATTTCTGACTGGTCTTTTCATGGTTCCATGCCCTCTTTTATGCTGCTGAGGTCCTCTCTAAGTTCACCGAGCATCCTTATAACCAGTGTTTTGAACTCTGTGTCTAGCAGACCACATGTCTCCATTTTGTTTAATTCTCCCTCTGGAGTTTTGGTTTGTTTCTTCATGGGCCATGCTTCTTTGTTTCCTCATTTTGGCAGCCCCCCAGGGTTCGTTTCCACATAGTATGTAGAGTTGCTACAACCTCCTGGCTTGGTAGAGTGGCCTGATGCAGTCAGTGTCCCATATAGTCCAGTGGCACAGCCTCCTCTATCACCCAGGCAGGACACTTGAGGTATACCCATTGTGTGGACTGTGTACACCCCCTTCCTGCAGCCAAGCCTTGATTGCCACTAGCAGGTCAATGGGACGGATTTACATAGGCCAATCAGCAGCAAAGACTGGCACTGACCACTGACCACCAACTCCCAACCACCTTGGAGGATCAGCTGCATATGAGCCCACTCCACAGAGCAGGACTTACTTTAGCACAGTGGTGCCTCTTAAGCCTGTCCCTTGAGTATGTTGCTTGCAGAGGTGATTGGATGGTGGTGCTCTAATGTGATCAGTAGCTATTCACTGGGAGTGCAGGCTCTGGGGCCTTCCAGGAGGTGCAGGCCAAAGTAAACCACCCTCTGTTTTCCATCCAGGGCCACCCACGTAAGCTGCAAAGCAATCTTAAGTTGAATGCTACTTGTGCTAGGCATGGGTGTGCCCAAGTGAGTCCAAGCTGTGAACCAAGACCAGCTGTTTTACTGCTAGTGCCATGCCTGGGGACACTTAGCGATAGGCATGGGGCACGCTGAGGCTAGATGCTGTTTGTTTGAGAGATTTTAGGAAAATCTAAAGCATGAGCCAGGGCAAGCCATTTGCATTTGTAAAAGCCACTGGAAACAGCCTGAGTGGCCCTGAAATTTGGGTGGTATGGATCCTCGGGGAATCACCAGGGTGGGGCAAATGGTGTGAGCCAGGTTGATGGAGTCTCAGATATGGCACCCACCTGCCAGCTCTGTGACTCTGTGGTGGGAGCACTCAGAAGAGGAACAGTGGCCTCTGCTAGCATTTCAGTCTGGGGGAAAGCTGCCCCCCAGCTCTAGCCCTGATGCCAGACTGTTCAGTTCCTCCTCTATGTCTCTGATGCCTTTCAAGCTGCTACCCTGGCACAGGACCTCAAAGGGAGTGTGTCCACGTAAGTCTGTGCGTGGGCCCTTTGAGAGGAACTGCCTGAGACTTCAGCAGTTTGTCTTTCTCAGCCTCAATCCCCACTGGTTTTTACAGCGAGAAGTTATGGAAGCTTATCTTCCTGGCACTGAACCCTGGGCATGTGGGCCTGGTGTGGGACTGGGACTCTTCACTCCCAAGATATTTCTCCGAATTTTTACCCACCACATGTGGCTGTGGAAGAAGCCTGTTCTGCATCTCTGCCCCTCCTTACAGTCTCGATGTGGTTCTTTAATTTGTAGTTGTAGGACTTCAACTCAATTTCTGATGGTTGTTCTGCAGGTCAGTTGTAACTTTGATGTGGTTACGTGAGGAGGCAAGCTGTGTTTACCTACGCTGCCATCTTGAATGGAAACCCTGCCACCTGAAACTAATACAAAATAATACTAACTATAAACCATAATTGAAAAAAAATGAAAAACACTACATTGATTTCACCCTTCTAACTCAAAAATACAAAGTACAGGAGCAGAAAAAAAGACATAAGAGAAGCGAGGTAAGCTGAGACCGGAAGTCACAGTCAGCTGGGTGAGGAGGAGCAGGAGGAGAGAAGGGAAGAACAACATAACGTCATAGGCGAGAGAAACCACATCAAGAGTGTAGAGGAAACAAGCTGTCTTGTGTCTAGAGTGTAGATTATGAGCAGGGCAGTGTTGGCAAAATGAATAAAGACAAGTTCTTGGAAGACCTTGACCTCTGTATGAAGGTGTTTGGACTTTATTCAGTAGAAAAAAGAAGTGGATTCCATGAGGAAAGTATTGAAGGATCAGGTGTTGAGATTTACCTCTGGTAAAGAATGTGACAAGCTAAAATTTTATTTAGCACAGCATAAAATTAAAACAATTTAAACACTCCTACTTTTATCAAAACTTGAAATCAGAGCATTATTTGTTGTGTTTCTAGGCTTCTCCTAAGTGGATATTTTGCCCTCATTAAGTACCAGGCAGAAGGAAAGAAAAAGACAAGAAAGCATCTTTCACTTGGCTTCTTTTTCTAGAAATAAGTCTCTCTTCATCAAGGGATTTGTTTGAAACAAAAAGGGCTGAGACTGCTGACTCTGTGTGATCCCTCACTGATAGGTTTGCAGGGTCTGGCTGCATCTTCGCCCACAGTGAGGGTCCAGCTGAGGCTGAGCCCATCAGATTGATCGCCCTTTGGTTTTCTTTGCAGGTGAAGCTTTATTAGAAAGTAACACCATTATTGACCACGTCTATTGCTCCCCATCCCTGCGTTGTGTTCAGACTGCATACAACATCTTGAAAGGTAAGACTTGACGAAGGCCAGCCAGCCCATCCCTCTGTCTCCAGGCCAGCCCACACCTAAATCATCCTAGACTCATGGGACAATAGCCAAGTAAAAGCTTCAAATTTGGAATTTTCAGCAGTGATTCTTTTGGAAGATATCACCATGAAAGTCCCCAAACCATACTCTAGCAGCATCAACATGATGAAAGGAAGGATACAAATACTATATTTCCTGAAATTTTTTCCAGATGAACTGTAGTCATGTAAAATATCATTGTCTGGCAATGAATGATTCAGAGCCTACGGAGCATGACCACTGACGTCACGAAACAGTGAAGTCACTCCTCCCACTCTGCTCTGCTTGCCTCTTGTTTGCAGTAGCGATGATGCTTTGAGGTGTCTGCAGATCTTAATTATCCTTGTATCTTTAGTGGAATGACTTTAGAAACACCATCATTATAAAGATACTCAACTTCAATCCTAAAACCCGTGGAAACGAGCTCTAGGAATTGCTGTTCTCATTTCACTGAAAAAATAAACCTAGAAGAAAAATGCTGGATCATTTACTTATACAAAACAAATGAATGAGCCAGCCAGCAATAGCTGAGCCAACAAAGAATCGACATTATAGTTGATATTGCTGTTCATTAATCTTAAGTAAGCCAGAATGCATTTATCTATTAAAATGCATTGTATGTTAAATTTACATAGAAAAATTTGGCTTAAGGCAATGTAAAGAAAGTTACACAGGGATAGTCTGACTCTGAGGGTCATTACACTGTGATAAATCATGGAGCTTGTGTACTCACACTTGTAAATATTCAACCCTGGATACTCTGATAGAGAAAATGAATGATTTACCTGATATTCAAATACAATGTAATCTGTTGTAGACTAATGGATACTGAGAGAATGTCTGAGGTTTCTCGTGAGGCAGTCTTGGGGCTTACTTTAGAAAAAGAAATTACAGTAGTCATAGAACTCTATAAATTATGGGGTAATGACTGGTGGTTTTTTTCCCTTAACCCACATACATCCTATCCCGGTGTTGTGGCCAGAGTTATTAAACTCACATTTGTAACACAAGAATTTAAAACCCTGGTCCGAACCCACATGTCTCCACTTCCTTTTTGCTCTGTGTAGCATCTGGTTGAAAAGAGGATAGGAGATTTACCAGAATTCTTATGACAGTTTGGCCTCTAGTTTACTTTTCCACTGAGAACAGAGTGACATTTCCTTCATCTTCATGTTATCTTACCTCAAGGTTTACAACAAGAAAATCACTTGAAGATACGTGTAGAGCCTGGCTTGTTTGAGTGGACAAAGTGGGTTGCTGGGAACACATTACCTGCGTGGATACCTCCATCAGAGTTAGCTGCAGCCAACCTGAGTGTTGATACAACCTACAGGTAACCCTTGGGAACTGCTGTTTCTTGGGCGCACGTGGAAGCACTTTACTGCCCCAGGGCAGGCCCCTGAAGGAAATGAAGGACCAGACACAGCCTTCAGGCAGTTCTCCATATTGCTGGAAGTTAAGCCATGATTTCTAAAATCCAAACTGGAGAAAGCCCACATCCCCTTGTGTTTAGATTACTTTAGATCATATCTCCCCACACAGTGGCCTTTCCTGACTGTATTATGTCTCTTTCAGTGAATAATAAAACCATCTTGCATTCCAGGAGTGGGCACCAGTAGATGGTGATGCAGTTCCACCACTGTGGGAGATGAATGAAATGACAATGTCTTACCTTGAATTGTCATTCTTAAATTTTCAAAGCATGTTTAATTTCTTCATGTCTCATTACCATAACCCCACAGTCTAGACAAGCCACTTTGGTATGTACGAGAATGCAGGTGGCTTTGCCTAAATGTGGGCATTTGATGGACACACATCGTAATGACAGTAACGACAACTAGCCTTTGTTGGTCCTTCCCAGCATGGAAAGTGCTGTGTAATCTCCTTCACAGGCACCTCATCCCCAGTCCCTCGCTTTTCTCCCCTGGAGCAGACTGTTGCTAGGGTCAAAAAGAAGTGTGTGTACATTGTTCACAAGTGAACAATTAAGAATTAACCAATTATAACAGCAGAGTTAAATTAACTGTCAGAAGTGTACTCAGACATTTGTCAACTGTCTTTGAGGAGGGACAGAGAGGGACAGCCACCATATTTCTTAGGGCCGAATTTGGAACAAGTGACTGCTATAAGCATAGATTTCTTCCTTGGGGCTTCCCAAGGTGTGGGGCTTCCCAGAGTGTGGGTAGCTGTCTTTCATCACAGATACCTACCCACACTGCAGATGAAGCCGTGGCAGTTTCTGGCTACATTCCCTCCCCATGCTTATTTTCGTACTCTACAAATAAGACCTCATATAACATGCTAAAAAATTAATGTGCACTACTTCTTGCTTGGAGGAATTCACATTCCTCAAAAATAAAATGAAATCAACCAGATCCCCTACTAATTTTGTCCTGTCCACACTATGGCCACTGTTTTTTAATTCTTTGAGCAAAACAGCAATAAATTGTTGGCCCCATGCCATCAGCCATCATCTTTCTGGCCTGGAAAGAGGGTGAACTGCTGCCAACACTGGTAAAATGATTTTCCTTGCTCACCTCCCAGGCCAGCTTGGGCCAACCACGTCTCCAGCTTTTCCCTGAAGTGAGTCCTGCAATTCTTCCCAAGCTCATTTACAAATGTCTTCAGAATCATTCTAATGCACACGGCCACACATCCCATCAGTGATACAGGCAGAATGATGAATGCCAGGAACCTGGGGGACGAACCACAGTCTTTATTCCAGCTTTTCTTTTCCTCTGCAGAAAATCAAAACTCAATCATTTTGTGTGTAAGAGGGGAAAAAAGGTTAAGCCCCTTCTAATTTCATAAATCAATTGTTAAGGTCAGTGATTTATCACATATTTTAGCATGCGAGGGCTACCACCCCTAGAGCTGAATTTCTTCTGAAATTAGTTAAGCAAAGTGAGCAGGCCTTTGGAAGCAAGTTTTATTGCAAATGACTGAAGGAACAGAGTGGTAGGCAAGGAGTGACAGCCAGGGTAATGTAAAGCAGGCGAGTGCTGTTTGAAGAGCCTATCACCTTAGAACAGCAGGGAGGCAGGACTGGAAGCCCTGCTGAGGAAAACTAACCAGGCCAGTGACTGATGTCCAAGTGTTGTGTCATCCACAGGCAGCAAGACCCAGCATTGGGACTGGGTACAGAAAGCACCCTCAGTCTTAGGGAGCCGGGCTGGAGGGAGCAAGGCAGAAATAGACATATATGTATGTGTGTATGTGTGTATGTGTGTGTGTACACACCAGTTGGAGCTTCAGAATAGGGTCTTGACTGGGTGCGGTAGGGAGTGGTGGGGAACGGGAATGTAGATCTGGTGTGTTAGAGGGGCAATGAATCAGACTTCAGTGTGGGGCTCAAGCAAGGTGAGGAGGAGAATTTGCTGGGAGAATAATGTCCCAGGGATGGTTGCTGAGCACCCAGAGCTCAGGGTTCCAGGTCTAGTTGGTGGTTGGAGGCTCCGCTGACTGCAGGTGTGGCTAGAGCGTGATACATTCTGCTGACAGTGGTAGGAAATCTTTGACTCTGTCTCATCCCCATGAGGACTGGTGGCTCAGACAGGAAAGCCGTCCATAAGTTAAGCCTTCAGTTAAGAACTGCCAAAGGCAAGAGCCGCCAGGATGAACTGGATACCAACATTTTACCTGTTTGTCACTTACTCTAGTCTCATACATTACAATGGGGTTTCACTTTTGAAATGACTCTGGACCATACAAAGGACTTTTCTCATGGTGGGGGGATTGTGATCATGTAGGGGGTGCATCTGTGAGACCAGTGACATAAGTGATAATAGAACTAGACGAGACTTTCGGATGGGGAGGAAGAGTTTGCAGCAGAACAGTGAGGTACGTCCTTGACGAGTGCTGATTCGTGTGTCTCCCTGGCTCCGAGGGTGTTATGAGATTCAGAAGGCTATTTCCTAGGAGCAGTGTATTTGCTGAGAAAATGTTGTGTAGATGACAGCAGGTTTCCTTCAAATGGAGCAGCATTCTTACTCTCAGGACAGTAAATCCAAGTGCACAGAGAGGCAGCCGAGAGGTGGACACTGTTAAAAGTGGTCCCAAGTAGAAAACATGTTTATAGGCATTGATCTGAGACCCGGGTTCAAATCCAGACTCTAAGAGCTGCTATGATATAAGCACATGCATGTCCTCTGTAGCCTTTCTGAGCCTCAGTTTTGTCATCTATAAAGTCAGGATTTGCAAAAAGGGTTGCTAGAAGGGCTATATTCAAAGAGCGCAAGAAGGCACGTTGCACAGAGCCTGACACATGGGAACCTCTCAGTAAATCTTTATAGTAATAATAGTAGAAGTGGCAGAGTAATCAAGGTTATTCTAATCAAGGTTTTCTAATCAAGGTTTAATCTATTCTAATCAAGGTTTTGTACACATTCACTTTGAGAACTGACCACCACCTTCACCCACCATGCTCTAAATATCAGAAAGGAAAGACACAGTAAGAAAACATAAAAGTATTACATAATTGTACTCCAAAACAAGATAAATATCTCACAGACCAGAATCTCTTAAATAGTAAAGGGACCATACAGCTACATTTATTATTTTAAAGAGTTTACTTATTTATTTTAACAGAGAAGGGAAGGGAGGGAGAAAGAGAGGGAGAGAAACATCAATATGTGGTTGCCTCTAGTGTGCGTCTCACTGGGGACCCGGCCCACAACCCACGCATGTGCCCTGACTGGGAATCAAACCAGTGACACTTTTCTTCACAGGCCCACACTCAATTCACTGAGCCACACCAGCCAGGGCCATGTACCTGCATTTGAAATCTCTTTTCAACTGTCCACCTTCTTATACAAGGTGAGCTTTACCCTGATACCTAAGCCAGATACGCACGCCTCAAGAAAAGAAGACTACAGACCAAATAGTCCTGATGAATATAATGTAAAAATTCTCAACAGAATATTAGCAAACCAAATTTAACAGCATATTAAAAGGATCATATATCACAATCAAGCAGGATTTATCCCTGTGATACAAGGGTGGTTCAACATATGAAAATTAATAAACATGATACACCACATTAGCAGCATGATCATAATGATTTGATCATCTCAATAGATGCAAAAAAAACTTTAGACAAAATACACCATGCTTTCATGAAAAAATGCTTATCAGATTGGATATAAAAAGGAAAGTACCTCAACATAATAAAGGCCATACAACAAATGCACAGCTAACATACCGAAAGATGAAAGATTGAAAGCTTTTTCTCTAATATTAGGAACAAGATTAAGGATTCCCACTTTTACCACTCCAATTATAATACTGGAAGTCCTAGCCAGAGAATTCAGGCAAGAAAAAGAAATAAAGGTCATCCCAACTGAAAAGGAAGAAGTAAAGTTGTGTTTTTTTGCAGATGATAGGATATATTGAAAATCCTAGAGATCACCATAAAACTGTCAGAACTAATCAATACATTTAGTAAAGTTACAGGACACAAAACAACATGCAGAAATCAATTGTTGTGCTATACACTAACAAGAACACATCTGAAAAAAAAATAAAACAGTCCCATTCACACGGTAGCATCCACAACAATATAATATTTAGGTATGAATTTAATCAAGGAGGTAAAATACATGTACACTGAAAGCTACAAGACACTGATGGAAGAAATTAAAGACACAAATGAAAAGATCCAATGCTCGTGAATTGGAAGAATTAATATGCTTCAACTGCACATACCAACCAAAGGCATCTGTGGATTAAATGCAGTCCTTATCAAAATTCCAGTGACATTTTCCACAAAAATAGAAAAAAACAAATCCTTAAATTTATATGGAACCACAAAAGAAGGCATCACACTTCTGTATCAAACTATACTACAAAGCTATACTAATGAAAATAGTATGCTATTTGCATTAAAATAGACACATATACCCATAGAACAGACTTGAAACCCAGAAAACTCAAATATGTGGTCAACTAGTATTTGACAAGGGAGCCAAGAATACTCAGGGAAAGATAGCGTCTTCAATAAACAGTGTTGGGAAAAGTGATTAACCACATTCAGAAGAATGAAATTGGACTCTAGTCTTACATCACTCACGAAAATTAACTGAAAATGGATTCAAGACTTTAACATAAGAATGACATTATAGCCCTGGCTGGTGTGGCTCAGTGGATTGAGCACGGGCCTGAGAACCAGAGGATTGTGGTTCGATTCCCAGTCAGGACACATGCCTGGGTTGCAGGCCAGTTCCCAGCAGGGGACGCACAAGAGGCAACCATACATTGATATTTCCCTCCCTTTCTCCTTCCCTTCCCCTCTAAAGATAAATAAATAAATAAAATCTTTTAAAAAAAGAATGACAT